CTAGGAGTGTGTACCAGGGGTCAGGAATCATGAGGGACTCTTAAAATTCTGCTTACTTATTTGTGCCTTCTCTCTACACAGTATATACTCAATTTATAGCCCTCCTTTTTGGTGGTACTGGGATTTGAATTCAGAGCCTCATGCTTTCTAGGTAGGTGCTCTACTATTTGAGCCACACCCCCAGCCCTTTTTTGCTTTAGTTACTTTTCAGATAGGGCCTCTTTCCCAGAGCCATCCTCAGACTTCAGTCCTCCTACCTACACCACACTGAAAAACAAGTGTGTCCCACCTGCCAATTTATAACACCTTTAATATCCCCTGCTGACCAGGGCAGTCCTTGAGGACTCTGGGGCAGCGTATTCACCAACCAGTTTCACCATATTTCAATGGATACACTCATACAGATTCACACAGAATAGTATCCAAATATCTCAGTATGAGATCCAAGACTGTCCTCCTCTGTGACTCTTACTCCCAAGTCATCCCATGTCCCAAACCTCACAATGCATATGGTTGGCCTGACATAAATGAGAGAGAAAAGAGGCATGGATGAAAATGTTTGCAATTCCCCTTTTTTATAGCTAGGGAAACTAAGTCTGAGGTTAGACTCCCAGCCAGTGCTCCCTCCAAGAATTCCTGCTGAGTCCTGAGCACATTTATCAAGCCATGTCACTTCTAGACCACCCCATGACACAGAGCCTTCTGCACTGAGCTGAGATCCATTTAAACGGATGTCACATTCACTCAGGCATCATCTCAAATACAACTCCCTTTGATTTGAACCCCTTTTGCTCTCTCCACTTGTGTTTTATATCAAAGGGATTAAGCCTCTTTGTTGGACTTGAAGCTCTCTTTCCAAAGACCTTTCATCATGTCTCCACAAATCTCCCCATCAACAGGCACAGAGGAAGCCGGAAAAATCAAGAGTGGTAATAGGACGACAAGGTAGAATAGGATTTGCTCAAGTCGGTGCCTGTCCTATGTCCTGCAGAGAGCAGCTGGCATCCTCAGCTCGCCTCAGTCAGGCCAGTGCCTTTCTTCCTGCCTCTTTCTTTGTGCCACACAGTTCTGCACAAAGCTAGGTTCAAAGAGGCAGTGCTGGGTCTGCTTACAGCCAGCTCCTAGCATAGGGGCCGGATGATAGTAGCTACTCAATGAATGCTTGCTGAAGGGATGCATAGTGAATAGGATGGATCTCAAAAACCTGGTTAAAGGAGTCCGTTTCTCTTGTCCCTGAAAATCTGTTTGACTTGATGGGCAGATAGCACTGGAGGCTGGAGGTTTGAGGGTGACATGTGCCTTACCCTTCAAAGAAGTCTGGGTAGTACAGGCTCCACATCAAGAGACTCAATGCCCACCCTCTGACTACCACTAGGCTTCAGGTGGTTGACTTAGATGCTCTGTGCTGCTCTCTTCATGTCTGCCATGGGGCCAGTGGAACATTACATTACATCTAAATTCAAGGTCAGTTTATGACTATATAGTCATGCAACTTAATGATGGAGATACATTCCCCCAAAAATGCATATTAGATGATGTTGTGCAAACATCTTAGAACTTATTTACACAAAATTAAGATGGCTAAGACCTCACTAGGTGATACAGTCTCATGCACAGTTGGTCATTGATAAAAAGTGTGTGGCACATGACATATGCATTTCCATTTATGATTGTGTTATAGATTTCTGTGGATCACTATAATAGCTCCTGAGCTGGAGGAGCACAGCATATTATCTGAGATTTATAGCAGAGGAAATTGAAGCAAGGAGAGTTAAGGTTGTTTTTCTGTGTACCACAGAGCAAGTTTGTTGGACATGGAGCTGAAATCCAAGTCTTACAATGGGTGAAGCAGAGAAGAACTTCCCAGATAATTCCACACACGAGAATGTGAATTGTATCAATCTTATTTGGAAGTAACCAGCCTTTTCTTGTCTGTCAGACATGAAAAGTTTTCATGAGGTTGTCTGAGTTTTCTGAGGTGTCCTAGAAAATATCTTTCTGTTTCTTGTGCAGTACAAACCTTCTCCAACAAGAATAGATGAGAGCATGTTTAAAAATAAAGAAGGAAACAGTGCAGAAAATCAGCCCAAAGCTGTTTCCCCTCCAAGAGTACACTTACCAAAGTGCCCTGACTGTGACTTGTGCTGGTGGCTCTACACTAGCCCTGCCCAGCATCAGTGACTGGAAAGTCCAGGGCATCATTGCTAGGGTCTCCAGCACACGGGGTTTGGGGGTCAGCAACATGCCTCACCAGCTCTAGACATCTCTGACCAGGCTTTCAGCACAAAGAAAAGCCCCAGAAAGCTTCATACCCCAATCTAGGGCAGAGCAAAGTCCTGCATGGAACTCTGAAAAGAAGCCCCAAGCATTTCCCTTCTTGTTTCATTTGTCTTTGTAACTGCCTCATTCAGAGAAGGGAGCAGGTGGCTCTGTGCCTCATGAGAAATGGCAGAGAGATGTCTGGGACAAATAGCCCTTAAAATGACTCTTCAATATAACATTTTAAAGGTTACCCTGAAATTGCTGCAACCACCTTTGCAGCAAAGGAAAAGGTTAGCCAAGGTCATCTGGCTTCCCAAGACAGGCAAGATTTTCTTGGTTGGCCGAGGGGCAGTTGACTCAGTAGTTGTACTATCAGTTTCTTGACATTCCATCTGGCCAAACCTATGGCTGGGGTAACCCCCAAAGTGGCACAGGGGTGTTCCCATGAGGGACTGCCCCCATTGTGCCAAGATGGAGCTGGATGGGATTCCAAAGAGGGCAGCAGTAATCTGCAGGGTGGTCAGTCCACAGCGTTTATTAGGGGAACCTGTATCCTCATGACGGACAGTGAGAAAAGGAAACCTGTGCCTGGAGTTTTATGGGGGCTGAAGGAATTTGGCTCAGAACCAAGACTAGCTTCTACAATTTTAGCAACATCCTTGATCTCTCAGTGTTCAGAGCAACAACCTAAACAAGGTTAGCAGCGCCTCAGAATGTTCAAAGCTTGGGTTCAGCCTGCAAGAGAAAAGATGCAGCTGGCCAAATCACAGAGCGGTCGAGGCACTCTGTCACTCAGTCCCTACAAAGAAAGAGAATGGAGGGAGTAGTATAGGATACCTTGGAAGGAGTGTCCCTATGAACTCTGGGAATCTGGTTTCTAAACATGAAGAAGGGCCGAATGATAGAGTCTCCTGAAGTGATAGCTCTCAGAATCACAGCTCATAGAACATGGAAGTCTGCAAGCCACCATATGGCCAGGGCTGTGGTTAAGCCCTGGGACTAGAGCCAGATAAATCTAGATTCAAAACCTAATTTGGCCGCATGCTACTTGAGCTTCATTTTCCTCATCTGAGAAATGGACAGATTATAACCATTTGTCTAATAGCTTTGTGGCAGGTTAAATGAGTTTGTGCATATACATTTCCTAACATAGTGCCTGGCCCACACTGCTCAGAAATGTAAGGCTGTTCCCATTAATTGCAAAGCTTCTTGTGCTCTTTCCTACCTTCATCAGAATCCGAAAGCATTTTAAGCAGGTTTGAACAGACTACCAGAACAATAATAGATTGTATGCTACAGGTGTCTGGGTGTCTGTCTCTTTGAAGTGTGGCAAGTCCTCTAAATCCTGTCTTTTTGAAAGCCTTAGGGGCATGAACATCCTATCCATTTCAATTTCTTAGGGAATAACTGGACCAAATTTTTACGGGTGGGTCTACGCAGTAATTTGTCATGTTGGTAAGTGCTCAGACAGCCAGACTCCCCACTCAGACAGCAGGAGATTCCACATGGTGAATCAGACAACGCCATTTCCTTTCTGTCTGCTGCTAGAAGATCTCAGACAAAAGGAAAGGAGACAGCAAGGCAGAAGCATAGAGCACAGGCTTTGAGCCAGGTAAGCAGGGATCCAAGTAGCCTTACCTCTTTCATGTTTAGTGGCCATGGTGTCAGGTCCCCTCTTTGGGACTCAGCTTTTACATTTATCCATCCATTTATTCCACATGTACTTTTGAATACATAGTACATGCCAGGCTATTCTCTAGGTGCTTGGAAGCTATCAGGGAAGATGCGACACAAAACTAATCTGAAGGAGAGAGAGGGAGTGTTACAAATCCACAGGATACACAGTACATAATGGGGTCACCATCTCCAACCACAGCCGGTGATTGTGGGGATTCTAAGTGATAATCCACCAGAACACACAGAACACAGTAGGCAATTGTAGCCCTTACTACTTTTTTAATTGCTCCCAGATTTCTTCCTTTTTTTTTCTTTTGGTGGTACTGGGGTTTCGACTCAGGCCCTCATGAAAGCACTCTACCACATGATTTACTCCCCAGCATTTTTTGCTGTGGTTCTTTTTCATTTTCTTTCTTTCTTTTTTTTGATGTACTGAGGTTTGAACTCAGGGCCTACACCTTGCGCTACTCCACCAGCCCTTTTTTGTGAAGGGTTTTTTTTGAGACAGGTTCTTGCTAAGTATTTGCCCTGCTGGCTTCAAACCACCATCCTCCTGATCCCTGCCTCCTGAGGAGCTAGGATTATAGGCATGAGCCACCGGCACCCAGCCATTTTTCAAATAGGGTCTCACCGTTTATACCTAGGCTGGCCTGAACTAGGAATCTCCTATTTATGCTTCCCTGTGTAGCTGGGATAACAGGGGTCTGAGAACTTTTTGCCCATGCTGACCTCAAACCTTGATCCCCCTCATCTCTGCCTCCCAAGTAGGTAGGATTATAGGTGTGAGCCACCATGCCTGGCTCCCAGGTTTCTCTACATTTTTTAAATGTTTCATGTGTAATTTGCCCCTGTTTACACTTTATTCACTCAAAAAACTCTTGAGCATTTGAGTGCTAGACTCTATAGTAGGCACCGGTGATACAAAGGAATCCTAAAGAATGCATGGTCCCTTGCCCTTGAGAGTTGCATAGTCTGAGCCCAGGAGGGAGAGGCCTTCGGTCTGGGATCTCTGGGAATCAGAACAGTCCACTTCACTCATGAAAATGCCTCTTTTAACTCAGCGTGTCCCAGTTATGGCTGGCGATTCTAGGAATGCTATGAACCAGGACATGGAGATCGGAGTCACTCCCCGGGACCCCAAGAAGATTCCCAAGCAGGCCCGTGATTACGTGCCCATTGCCACAGACCGCACTCGCCTGCTGGCAGAAGGCAAGAAGCCCCGGCAGCGCTACATGGAGAAGAGCGGAAAGTGCAACGTGCACCACGGCAATGTCCAGGAAACCTACCGCTACCTGAGCGACCTGTTCACCACCCTGGTGGACCTCAAGTGGCGCTTCAACCTGCTGGTCTTCACCATGGTCTACACCATCACTTGGCTGTTCTTCGGTTTCATTTGGTGGCTCATTGCTTACATCCGGGGTGATCTGGACCACGTTGGTGACCAAGAGTGGATTCCTTGTGTTGAAAACCTCAGTGGCTTCGTGTCTGCTTTCCTATTTTCCATTGAGACCGAAACGACCATCGGGTATGGCTTCCGCGTCATCACTGAGAAGTGTCCCGAAGGCATCATTCTGCTTCTGGTACAGGCCATCCTGGGCTCCATCGTCAATGCCTTCATGGTGGGCTGCATGTTTGTCAAGATCAGTCAGCCGAAGAAGAGAGCGGAGACCCTCATGTTTTCCAACAACGCGGTCATCTCCATGCGGGACGAGAAGCTGTGCCTCATGTTCCGCGTGGGCGACCTTCGCAGCTCCCACATCGTGGAGGCCTCCATCCGCGCCAAGCTCATCAAGTCTCGCCAGACCAAAGAAGGGGAGTTCATCCCCCTGAACCAGACGGACATCAACGTGGGCTTCGACACTGGCGACGACCGTCTCTTCCTGGTGTCGCCGCTCATCATCTCCCACGAGATCAACGAGAAGAGCCCTTTCTGGGAGATGTCTCGGGCTCAGCTGCACCAGGAGGAGTTTGAAGTCGTGGTCATTCTAGAAGGGATGGTAGAAGCAACAGGTAAGACATTGTGCCTTCTGCAGCCGCGCAGTCCCCCTACCCACACCCAGGAGCTAAGGCCACTCTGTCTCCAGAAGATGGAAGCTTGTGTGGCACAATCCTAGATGGTACCATCAGTACCCCAGTCTCTAATGTGACCTGAGGGGTGCCATCACTTAGAGCAGAGTAATAATTATGGCTAACATTGATTGAAGCCCCGCCCTTCTCCCAACTTCCAGGCACTGTTCTAGACTGTAAACATGTACAGGAATGAGGGCCCTCCCACATCCTTATAAGATACTAGTCATCATTTCCAAACAGAAACACAGACAGGAGCAAGTGCTACTAAGCCATAGAGCCAGGACACAAATCAACAGGGGTGGGCACCAGAGCTAGCGCTTGTTTCCGATCAACCAGAATGCCCTCTGTCCTGAACAGGTGTCAAATGACCTTAGGAAACCTGGGGTGACAAGAGGAGCTGGTATTCTAGAGTGGGACATCATAGTTCTCTATATACTGTGAATCTCGTCAGCAGGTGAGGATAGTGCGCACACACAGCCTCTCCTAAGCTCACAGGGATTTGCACACAGCCCTTCTTTAGTGGCACCTGTGCACCATACCTGGGGCAGCTCTTCCATTGGCCCTTCTCTAGAGCAGCCTGCCCCTCATCTTTCTTCCCAAAGGCTGGCCAGTGAACCCAAGGCGTGCAGAAAACGGCATCCGTGCTGAGGCATGCCATCCACTTATGCCCGAGGAGATGCAGTCTACAGTGGCCAGCCTGGCACACACCCCTGCTCAGCTACCAAGTCTCACAGGCAGCTGGGAGACGGAGCCGCTGCTCTCCTCAGTCACACATGCATGCAGATCTCTGAGGTGGCTCCAGGGAGCCCCCAGCAATGACTGAGAATCAAGATCCCACCCCACACATGAGGCTGGGCTTCCTGGGGAGGTAAGCCCACCAGCAAAACCCTGAACCTTGCTTCTTACTCTCTTTCCTCCACCTTCCCATCTTTTTTTTTTTTCACTGAGTAGGCTGAACAGCAGGCTAGACCCTTACAGTGACTTGTAGAAGACGCACCCATGCTCAGTGATGCATGCTTTTCTCTAATTCTTGCAGTGTGGCCTCAATTCCATATCACAGGTGTGAACACTGAACCTTAATGACCATGCAGTGAGTGCTCAAGCTCGGACCCGGGCTTTTATGTTCAAGTCTAGAGTTCCTTCTGCCACACCACACTGGCTTCTCAAATTCTAGGTCTCTGTCACGAAAGTGGCCACGCACACCTGTCTAGCTTTTGAAAGCTGGTTGCTGAGTGGGGGACTCAGATATGACCTCCCTTGCCTTCCCATTTCTGAGTCAGTGAAACCAGGCAGGGTGCTAACAGGCTCCAGGGACTGTGCCAGAGGGCTGCTTGGCCATCTGCTGGGGGCCGGAGCCTGGCCAGGCAGCATATGGTGGCAGCCGCTGGAGCCCCTGGGGCCAGGACAGACAGGATGCAGGAAGCTGCCTCCTGTAGAGCTGGGGACTCCCGGTCACCCTGCCCTTGGCAACAGGGTCAAGTTCAGAACACAGGCTCACTTTCTGTGGGAGTAACTCCACTATGAAGTCAAGGAGGGATTAGGTCAGAGCCAAGAAACAAATAGCAATCCCAGGCCTCTTTGCACCCCCATCCCCACAGCTACTGTCCCTGCCAGCAGGCATGCAGCAGGGACAGAACTCTCAGGCCACCCAGAGTTGGAGCAAATGCTGATGCCCACCTTTGGCCTCCTCCCTCACTATATGCCTCAAAGTCAGTGGCCCACATTGACCTGTCCTAATTGCTTGACCTTCTCCCCTCTCATGACCTGGGCTACCCTACCTTTGGGGAGACCCTGGGAGATCAGGGAGGGAGACCACCCACCCACATTTGTTCTGATGTCAGTGACTTGAGTGGTTTGGTTGTCACGTTCATGGAAGCCAAGCGTGAGTGTGAGTTACAGTTAGGCTCTGCGTAACCTACCTCTGTGAGCTTGGTCACGTGTGACTTGTCAGCAAATGAGGAAAAGCAGCTTCATGGGGTGGTTGGGAGGATTAAATGACTAAATGGAGTGTTACAGGTAAAGCATGATGCCTGACTCTGTGCAGTAGAAAGTGACAGAATGAATTACAAGCCACCAGGTACACAGGCGGGATCTTCAGCCATAGGGCAGTTCACTGGAAGAAGAGCAGGAAGAGCCTGGGGGCAGCCTCAGAGGCTTCTGTGAAAGTCCTGCCCCACTATCTTTCTTAAAGCCCTGCAGTATTGGGTCTGGGGTTAGACTCGTCAGTGTCCAGTCTGAGGATCTACATTTCTGCTGGGATTGGGGGTGTGAGACTAGGGGTGAGGACCAGGCCCAGGCAGGCATCCTCCTGAGAGTAGAGAACAGGCCACAAGTCCACTGTGTATGGGGTACCCTGTGAGTGCCCAGACACTGGAGCACAGGTGGGTGGTAAGCAGCCTTTGGCCTGGGTCTGGTTTATATGGCACCCCTCCCAGAGAAAGCCCAAGGTGAAGCTGCAAAAGGCTTCTTCAGTGCCCAAGAACAGAGGCGAATCCCTTCCTTGGTCATAAGAGGAACTAGAAAACTGCTTTCCTGTGACCCTAAGCACAGAAGCTTCTTCATCCATAAACGAAGCTCCTCTCTGGAGAGAGAGCAACACCTAAAAATAACACAAGCATGGCAAGGGCTGTGTGGGGAGGGAATGGAGGCATTGAAGCGTCCCAAGAGCAAGAAGCCAAGCTGTGGGGTGTGTCTCCCTGCTTCCTGTGTGTGCATGCATGTGTGTACATGTGCACGTTTGTGAAGGCTTCTGCCCATATGTGTCTACCCAAAACAATTCCCATATGTTCCAAATGCCTGTCGGCTTCTCTGTGTTCCCTACTCTGAACTTACCTTTGTTTGAGCCCTTTTCCTGTCTCAGTCTTCTAGACCCCAATGCTGTTTTCAAGAATTATGTCCTTGTCTCCAGATATTCCAAAATTATTTGCTCTTGTCTCTAGGAATGTCCTCCAGAAGCTTGCAGGTTCATTGCTAATTTTTTCCTTCCACTGTATCTTGCACTCCTCCAGGACAAGGACCATGTCTTATTTATCTTTGTACCTTCATGTGTTTAGCACAAAGTAGATGTTTAAGAAATGCTTGATGAATGAATAATTAGGTGGATGGACAGACAGACTGATTGATAGATGAATGGGCTTTTGGATGGATGGATGGATGGATGGATGGATTATTGTATCTTAATGCATATGGCATTTATTTCCCCAGGCATGACTTGCCAAGCACGAAGTTCTTATATGGATACGGAGGTGCTTTGGGGCCACCGATTCACACCAGTTCTCACCTTGGAAAAGGGCTTCTATGAGGTAGACTACAACACCTTCCATGACACCTATGAGACCAACACACCCAGCTGCTGTGCCAAGGAGCTGGCAGAAATGAAGCGGGAAGACCGACTCCTCCAGCTCCTCCCTAGCCCTCCCCTGGTGGGCGGTTGTGCCGAGGCCAGGCAGGAAGCTGAGGCTCAGCAGGATGAAGAGGATGAGCCCAGTGTGCTGAGTGGGTCCCAGGAGACCAGGGGCTCCGTGTGAGGGCTGTGCTCTCCCTACAGCTTCCATGACACACGCTACAGAGCCTGAAAGCAGGAAGGGCTATTTTATTGCTGAGCTGTAAGGCCTCTTCCCTTACAGCTTTTGTCAACTCTGGCTAAGGGCCAAGCCAGGATGGGTTTCCAACAGTGAGGGTGACAGGGTAACATCTGTCTTCTCTCTGCCTACTGACCCAGGTCACTTCCCTCCCTGGGTCTCACAGCCCCCTTTAAGGCAGCCGCTCTACCCCCATTCCTAATACTGAGGTATGTTGTAGCTCCAGGAAGGAGCCATTCTGCCAAATGGAAACGCAGGCCTCCGGTATGTGCTTGTGTTCACGGAGCCCTCGAGGGCTATGCAAGTCATGGGGGCGATACCTTTTAAATCTGAGGCCAAGACCATTTATTAAGAGCTACAGAGTGCAAGGCACTTGCTCATCTGTTACTATCTACCAAGGGGGTGTGTGTTTTCCCTCTGCTGTGTTGTGTCCACTGCAGCCTACAAGGTCACTGATCTCCTTAGAGTAACTCTGGTCCCCTGAGCACCTGTGGGCACATGCACAGGTGTCACTACAACTGCCCACCCCACTGTGCTCTGCACCTCCCACCCAAGGGAAAGAGAGTCCCAGCAATCGGGCTTTCTATAGGACTTTTTGGCTCAAGAACTTCAAAGTACTTCTAACCCCCACTGTAGTTTTGTTTCACAACCAAGACAGCATGTAATATGATCCTGGGAGGGAAAGCTGAGTTTGAAGGGGCCAGATGAACCAATTGGCACTGAAACAGGGACAGAGAGAAAAGGAAAGCAGAAAGAAAGGATATCAATTAAAAATTTTATATAAGCATCTGGAGCTGACTCTGATAGCTCATGAGTATAATCCCGGCACTTGGAAGACTGATGTGGGAGGATCAAGGGTTACAGGCCAGCCTGGGCTACGTAACGAGACCCTGTCTCAAATAAAATTAAAAAATAAATAGCTGCCCCAATTTTTGCCTCGGAGCTCAGTACACCTTGGCTATCAAGATGAATAGTAGGATGTGAAACAGAAGTGACAGGTGACTATAGAGACAGCTTCATTTCAAGCCCAGGCTGGACCAGCTGGTGCTGAGAAGCCTCTGGACCTCACTTGTACAAGATGGGCTCCAAAAGTGCACACTGAGCTGTGGAGGGCAAGGATGAAAGTCGAGAGAGGACTGTCTCTTCCCACCCTGGAAATGGGAGGGTGAGGGAGTTGGTGGAGAATTGGGGAAGGGGCTAAATATTAAGAGAAAGAATAGAGACGAGCCTTAAAATCAACAGCTTTAGAGATTTTTCTCACCCTTTTGGAGGATGAATGACGCAGGCTGCCAGGTGGAGGAAGCACATGTTGAGGAAGACAGGCTTGTAACTCCCTGGCTTCCTTAGAAAGAGAGTTTGCACATTCCCAGACACAGAATTCTGTAGCCCTCCCCGACAGCATTCGCAGCTCTCCCCTGGCCTTTGGGAATGGAAGCATTTTTCCTGCCCCAGATCTGCAGCACCTTCCTTGAGAGCCACACAGAGGTAGGAAGTTAAGGTACAGCAAGGGAACAGCTTGCGGATCTCAGACTGAGTTTCCAGCTCCTAGGGCAGGTGAGAAGAGGAGAAAGGTGGCCTGGATGGGGAAATGCATTTTGTGGACTGCCCATACTCAGGAAAGGGGATTCTTGTGTTTGACATGATGCTGAGGAGGACTGGATCTTGAGAGGTGGGCAAGTGGGGGTCTTCCTGCCAGGCTCAGGACACTGGGTCATAGTTCCAGGCATCCTTCTGTGGTGAAGCAGTTCCATCAGGGGATGAGTAATGGGCTACTGTCCCCTATCAGGAGAAAGTGAAGCAGGCAGTGGGTACACCCCAGTAGGTGAGCTGCATGCAATCAGGAGGCTAAGGCAAGGGAGCAATTGCTGAGACTGGATGCCTGGGGTGAAAGGAACTACAGCAGGAACTCTCAGGGGAGAAGGACTGACACACAACCCTGGCTCTGACCAGATCCCAGACTTTCACAGCAGGACAATTTTAACACCCCTTGCAGAATGTGAAGCCAGTCTTGATCAGAACCAGTGTCCGGGGGTATGACCCACAGTGAGACAGATGGGTAGAGATGAAGGCATTGGGGGAGGTATGGACAAGGCTGGACTCATGTCTAGACAGTGACCTGGCTCCTGTTTCATATCTGCCTCCACTTACATTTCTGAAGCATCCTCAAAACAGTTCTCTGCCAGTGGATTCCATGAGCCAAGGCTACCTCTCTGCCAACTCTAGAAGGTGTGGAGGTTGTTGAAGAGGAAGGGATCAATATAATCCTATTCTAAAGCTCGCTGATAGGCCAGAGCTGATGTGCACTGGGATTAGTAAAATACTATCTTGCCTATTCTGGTTTCTATGGCAACCTAAATGCAAGAAGACTGTCTGTCATATTCCAAGGAAATCTCCATGTCGGTGACCATTCGATCTAATTAAAGTTCAAAAAGTTCTTCAAATCATCTTCTGGAAGTTGTTGAGTAAACATGGAGTTTATTAAATGCAAAGTCTGATAATGGCCAGTATTTCAGTTAGTCACTTCCAATTCATTGCTCCTACATATAAACCACTTATAGGTCACAATCCTTATTGCATGACTGAGCCCATGTCATCACTGATGCGCCACAGTTAGCTGAGCCAAGGCTTTAAGATGGGGTCACCAATAATGCCCACAGACTCTCAGCTTCCCCAAATCCCAAAGCAATAGCACACTCGTCAGACTGGGATTTGGGATACTGACTTCCTGCCGTAACTCCCATGTCTTTCCTCTTTGGAAACATCCCCATGTAGTGGAAAAACTTCTAGAAACTCAAGAAGTTCCCACTAGCTCTCTCTCACCACCAATCTGGCACCTGCTTGGTTTTGCCATCGTTACCTCAGAACCCTAATCCCAGGCCAGAGCAGAAAGGACATTTCACACACCTCTGCCCTAAAGATGCCATCCCCCACAGGCCTCCTGTGCCACTTCTACCATTTCTTTCTGCTGCTTTAGATCCTGACTCAAGCATTTGATCTTAATGGAGAAGAACCCCTGTCTGTCTGGGGAATACCTTCCCTGCTTGGCATCTGTAATAACTGGACACCTTTATTCACACTCCTTATCCCATGCCCTATCTTCCAGCATGCCTCAATAGTGTCTCAGGTGACATGAGGACCACAGAAACTTAAATTGCTTGTATTGAAGTTTCCAAAAAGCAAAAGTAGCCCATTGTCTTCTAAGGCAATGCCCTGGAAACATCAGTGCACATGTACCACTGAATGAGCACCTATGCTGGGCAGTGGGCTAGGCACTTCTGCACATTTGCACTTGATTCAAAAAACACTGCAGAGAAAGAGGTCACTGCAGTGACCCCTTGTTACCAATATGCCTGTGGAGAATCAGAGAGGCTCTCTTGATTTGTTTAAGGCCACAAATGAGAGGCAGGGCCTTAGTGCCAACCATGCATGGAGGAGCCATCATCCTGCATAAACACCCATGTCTACACGCTCATTGGGCTGGGCAGAGGAACAAGGAAAGCCCCACCTCTCCTGATGGTGCCTGGAGATATGTGTGCTATGCTGTACAGCTCACCACCAACAACATTCTCCTGTGGCAAGATAATTGGGAAACACTTCTCAGGAGAAGCCACTTCCTCGGCTGGCCTTAGTTTTTGCTAACATCTTCAACTACAGTGTCAAATCTTTCTCCTTGTGTAGGATTTGTCGGTCTTTTTATGAACAAGAACACCATTTCAGTGCTAAAAATTCACCCAATGAAGTTAGTTTGGCCTTAAAGAAAAAACTCTCATTTAAAATAACACTTGTTTCCCACTCACATGCATTGCCAGTTTAAATAACTTGCTCTTCTTGTTTTTGTTAGGCTAAAAAATGCAATATCAACATCTAGACTGATATTGAGGTGGCTGTATGGGCAAAGATGAAAGGACAGGCCAAGCCAGAGTGAGGCACTTGCCCCAGGCACGTCAGAGCTCAATTCAAGATGGCAGCAAACACAGAGCGCACATTGGCTCATCCATTCTGCGCCTTTGCTGCCTTGTATCCACTCTATAATGTTAAATATCAGAATCTCCATTACATGACTCAGGGGTAGCTTTCAATATCCTCTTCCTTTGGGTAACTTTGAAAATACCCACTTTAGGAAGCCCCATGTTAAGGTCTGGCAGTCTGCATCCATGGCATCAATTCACAAAACGATTGCTATTACCAAATGGTGGCAGGGGACGGAGGAAGTTGTGGTAGCCAATGTTGGCAAAGGATTTGAAAATGTCGTTGACAGTGGAGGATGGACAATGACATCTCTTCTGCTCTGTTCACCTCAAAGCAACATTGGAGATGCAGGTGGACGGAGTGGTTACCTAGAGACCCCTCACTGAATCCCCCTGGAAAGATAAAGCAGCTGGCCATGGCTTTGACTCAGTATGAGACGCAGTATTGTATGCTGCAGCGTGTGGCCAAATGGCCAGCCAGCACCTGTCCCCATGGTGACCAGACAACAGCAAATTGGTACCTGGGACCTGGACTACAACAATACAAAGCCTCTCTGTCAGCAGTGGGCAAGAGCTCCTGGGGACCCTGAGGAGGCAACGCTGTCCCAGTACTGATGGAAAGCAGACACACGTACAAACCTGGAAGTGGGGGGATGTACCCTGCCTGTGGGCAGCACTGTGAATACTGCTCAGGATCAGAGTAACATGGAAGGTTAGGGGGCACGTTTGCCAGTCAAGCCTAGATTGCAATTTGGGGAAGGAGAACTAGACACTTACATCTAATAAATAGCAAAAATCTGAACATTGCCTCAAAAACCCCAGCCCAGCCTGCTGCGCCAGTCAGAGAACAAGCACTGACACGCACGTGGTGGATGTCTCTTAGATCTCAGTGAAGCGTGTTGACTTGTTTGTGGTAAATAAATATCCAAGGAGGAGTTTTGGAAATAGAAATGTTGACTGATTCTTTTCTCTAGGGGACTATTTACTTTTCCTCAGAAGCTGCCGTTCAAATAAACTTGGCTCCTGTATGCTGGAGAC